AAATTAGGAAAGGAACTAATCGATTAAACTGAAGAAAATAATCGATTAGGTGGTTCTGTGCTAACAAATCGATTAAATGAAGAAAATTAATCGATTATTGGGCGATCCCGGGAATCCAACCAGAAGTCTATTAATCGATTAAAAAAGAAGAGAAAATCGATTAATTTCAAAATATCATGCAAATATAAAGGGCCCAAGCCAATTTGCGATTGAAGCCTTTGGCTTCACACGGGTTGTTTGAGACAACCGGAATCAATGCACGCTCATTGATAACCCTTATTCATTGAATTTGAATAGGGGAGAAAAAGTGAGTCCAAAAAATTATTTTGTGTGTCAAAAGATGTACACGAAAAATATTTAAAGTATATTTTTCTTACCAAAAAAAAATTGTGTAACCTTAAAAATATTTTTAAGAAATTTTTGACACACTTATTTTGAAACTGACTCAGTAAAATATTTTTAGACAGAGGAAAAGTAATTTTTCAACTGACTCAGAAAATAATAATTTTTATCCCTCAAAAAATAATTTGTTTGTGCAGAAAGTATTGTTATCCTTACAAAGATTCCTAGACTCAATTAAAAGAAATCTTCGGAGTCTTCACTTCACTTCAAAAACTTCTGCGTAGGGGTAAGCCTTGATTTTATCTTGATACGCCTCTTTGCTTTTCTCGATACGAAAATAAATTTTCGACCAGTTTGAATTTAATCATCCTGTTTGTCATTTATCAAAACAAAAAAAAATATTCCAGAAGAAATAGTAAAGGGGTTTGAACTCATGTCCAACAAAAATTTTCAAGTGGACACATGATTTTGATCCCTCAAATCTTCCACCAATTGTGCCCACTTGGATATCCCTGCCTGGATTACCAATACATCTTCATCAAAAGTCTGCTCTAATGTCTATCGCCAACATGATTGGACAACCTATGGCTATTGATGCTGCAACTGCTGCCCTTAGCAGGCCATCCCTGGCTCGGGTATGTGTGGAACTTGATCTCTCCAAAGAAAATCCTAAAAAGATTCATATTTTGGATGGTGATAGGCACATTTTTCAAGAGGTCATTTTTGAAGCACTCAAAGCCTTTTGTACAGTTTGCAAGAAAACTGGCCACTCCAACTCCGACTGTAAGAAGGCTGGAAAAAGGGTTTCGAGTGATATGAACCCTCAAATCCCTCAGAAACCTGCTTCTGAACAAATAGAAAACCAATCTCGAAGTGAATGGCAAATTGTCAAGAAGAAAGGGACAAAACAATGAGCATCTACAAGTGGCCTCAAACCTGAGGTTAACCCTTCCAACTCAGCTATGAATATGCAGGCACCTCAGGAGAACACCTCAGTTCAGGTTGACCCCATAATTAATCACTCCCAAGGGACATTATCACCTTGTGAGAAGGACAGTTCTATCACACCGGACTCCCCCCCACCCACAGATGATGTGATTATTGTTGAGGAGGAGGATCTCCGGAAGCCTGATGATGTGGATGGTAAGGAGGAGACACTCCAGGAGCCAGATGATGTGGATGGTAAGGTGACTGATAAGGACACCTCCGAGGTTCAATCCGATGAAGCACTGGTTCTGGAACATTCTAACCCTCCAGACTATGATCATCTTCACGCAGTGGAAAATATCTCCGAATCACTCTCTGATAGTGAAATTTTGGCAAGGAAAACCAGGGAAACCACCCTTGTTACTGAACCTATAGCTAGCCGGACAAGATCCAGGCTTCCTCTGGACTTCCCTCCTCACCTCCATGGTTAAGTCCATCTTCTGGAATGTCTATGGGATAGACTCTCGGTTGAAGAGACTATCTCTGCTTATTAAGAATCACAATGTTGATGTGGCCTTTATTTTTGAACCTATTGTTAATAGTAAGAAGATGAATTTTTTCAAACTCAGACTGGGGATGGATCAGATTATCTCTAGTACTTCAAATAAAATTTGGGTTGTTTGGTAGATGAACTCCCTCAACCTGGTTTCTTATGAGGATAAGGGTCAGGTTCTCCACTGTCTATTTAGACTCAGCAGTACTTCCACCCTCATACATATCTCTGGTATCTATGGTGCTCACAATGAGGTCAACCGAACCACTCTTTTTGCTGAAATTGTGGAATATGCAAGAAAGGTTGTCTCTATCCCTTGGTTTCTAGGCGGAGACTTCAATGCAATCTCTTCAGTGGCTGAGCATAAAGGGAAGTGTGACCCCAATCTCATAGAAATTGCAAAATCTCAACAATGTATTTCTGACAGCGGGCTTCTTGAAAGCAGCTTCTCCGGGCCTTCTTTCACCTGGACTGGAATCAGATCCAGAGGGAGGGTATGGCGGAAATTAGACAAAGTCCTTTACAATGAGACTTTTTCTAGCTCCTTCCCTCACCACAATCTTGTTCACCTTGCAATAGGAGCATCTGACCACTGTCCTCTTGTTTTTACCATCAATGGACCACTTCATGGCACCCCCAGTCGTTTTCGATTCCTCAATCTTTGGGTGCAAGATAGGACCTTCCAAGAGAGGGTTAAAAAGACTTGGAACAACTCCTTCCATGGGAGAGGAATGAGGGGCTTGATGATCAAACTGGAAGAGCTCAGGAAGGATCTCAAACATTGGAGTTACAACAACTATGGAAATCTTTTCCAAGCTTTTGAGAGGAGTGAAAAGGATCTCTTGGCTGCTGTAAACCTCTTTGCCTCTGACCCATCCCCGGATAATCTATCTGCTTTGAACCTCCAAAAGGCTAAGCATTCTAAGTGCATTAACAATATTGATTCCTTCTGGAGGCAAAAAGCTAATATCAAATGGATCAAGGAGGGGGAGGCAAACACTAGCTTCTTCCATAACTATGTCAAAGGTAAAAGGAAGAGACTTTTAATCACCCATATCAGTAAGGGAGATGATAATTTCTTGGAATCTCAAGAAGACATTATTGCAGATGGACTTTCTTTCTTTAAGAAGGCTTTTTGTGAGGAACCTACCCTGACAGATTCAGACCTTCTACAATCCATCCCAGTAGTCATATCTGAGGAGGATAATACCATGTTAACTAGATTACCTAATGAGACAGAGGTCTGGGAAGCTATTTTTGCTATAGATCCCAACAGTTGTGCTGGGTGGGATGGATTCAATGGCTTCTTTGTAAAAAACGGGTTTACGCCTATGTCGTACCGTGTTCGTTTTATGACAGGTTTTGATAATGCCAAACCGTCGTGACAATAACAAGGTTAAAGTAAGCAATAACAAGGTTAAAGTAAGCAAAACCAAGGCGAAGGTATTGAGTCGGTCTTAATGTGATCAAGACCGGCACAAACTTTCAAAAACTTGGCTCTCTAGGCTCACTTCATCAAAATACTTTTTGCATTTTCAAAAATGTTTTCCTAAGTTTTAAACATGCCTAAAAACACTTGAAGTTCGCCCAAACCAAAAACCAAGCCATCTGGCGTTCGGTCTTCAGAAACTGGCGTTCGGCCTTCGGTTACCGGCGTTGGTTTTTGGTGTCCAAACCAACCAAGTGGTTTTTAACTTTTAATGATTGGTTTTTACTTCTGGGCATATTTAAATAGTTCTCCAACAAAAACGCTTCAAAACCCACCTTTCGTTTTTGGTCATTTAGTGAAAACCATGCGACACGGCGCAAACTTGGCTAGCCGTGCTTTTCAACTAAATGACGTGGTTTTCAAGATGTTTCACTTGATTTCTTAGCAAAATTCATTTAACAAATGTTTTCAATACTTGATTTTTACTTTGGAGAACTTACCTTTTTGACATCGGCTAACGACATGACTAAACCAACCATGGGTCTGGCTAAACCAACCCAACAGCGATGTTGGTGTAACCAACAGCGCTGTCTGGCATGGGAAGCTAAAAACCATGGTTTGGCGTTAAGTCTTCCAACAGCGATGTTGGATGTTAGACATCGCTGTTGAGCCATGGTTGGGTTTCCAGAAACATCTGGAACAGCGATGTAGACTACCCTACATCACTGTCCAACCTAAGCCAAAAAGAAATGCTTCTCGCAGAAAGATTTTGGACAGCGATGTTGACCCAGCAACAGCGATGTCAGGCCAAACTTTCCACCTTCAAAGTCAGACCTAAACAGCGATGTTCAAGTAATGAACATCGTCGCACGAAATTAAAAAACAAGAGCGAAAAAGTAAAGAGCGTAAGGAAGGAGCACACCGAATTTTATCCTGGTTCACCACAACGTGTGGCTAATCCAGCCTTTCGAGAGACTCTCTCGAGTTACACTAACTTCGTTAAGCTTAAAAGTGCTCAACAAACTGATACAACTTGAGAACTCGAGTCACACGAGCCTCAACGCCTTTGCTCGGAGATACCGCACTCCAAGACTTCTCACGAAGGAACAAAGAACTTTCTTCGAGTTTACAACAAGGGAACAACCTCCCTTAAAGTGTATGAAAACACTTAAACACTCAGGAATAAAAGCTCTCACAAAGAGTAGATATGAGTGAACTAGTAAACGCTCAAGAACACGACAATTTCTTCAAGAATTGGCTCTCAAATAGCTAAGAAAAGATAGGAATGCTTATGCAATGAAAGAGTATTGAAATGTTGAAGAATTGTGTGTAAAATGAGAGGAATTGGGTGCCATTTTATAGCCCAAAATGGGATAAATCCGTTGCTAGAGTTTCCAACAGGATGAAGACAAATTTTTAAGAGTTGCAGGGTGATAATCGATTGTCTAGCCATGATAATCTATTATTGAAAGATTCCCTGTCCAAAAGTTTAAAATTCTATCCGTTGGAAGACAACGGTAACCTAGATAATCAATTGTCAACTAGTGATAATCGATTATTGGTCCTCTCAGAAGATTCTGGGTTTTGGCTGCACAGACTGATAATTGATTATTGCAAATGTGATAATCGACTATTGCTTGCTTTAGAACTTTGGAGTTCAAAGCTGCAGAGGCAGATAATCGATTTTCACCAAAGTGAGAATCGATTATCACCTAGCTAAAGTCTAGCCAGCTGAAACCCGTTTTGAAAAACTGAGGTCCAAAAACGAAGTGTTCCCAAAAGTAAAAACTAGGTTTGAAAAACATTGTATATGGTATAAAATAGTGAAAACAAGACTTGTTCGGTAAAAACCAAGTCTCCAAGGTCGTACATCATGTGCGTACGGTTTTGACCGTTTTTCACGTGTTAGACCAATTGACCAGGATACAAAAGTGGTTTTTATAAAATAATTATTTGGGAACATTTTAAAAATGCTCAGAGGTAAAAACAAGGTTTAAAATATTGAAAACCACGGAGTTGGTTCTGGCGCCAAAAACCGAACGCCGAATGCCAAATGCCGAACGCCGAACGCCGACCTAGGTGGTTTAGGTTCCGAGCAAGGACAAGGGATTTAACAATAAAAAATCATCAAAAATATTTATTTTGATGCACAAAAATATTTTATGATTTGTAAAAATTGTTTTGACTCTTTGAGAACCGAGACTTGAATTTATTGTCGGTTTTGATCACAAAAGACCGACTCGACTAAGTCTTCAATTCTTGATCTTGTCCTTCTCAGAAAAACCAGAACAAGGTTCGGTAAGAAGTGCGGAACTCAATAAGTTGCTTTGAGAAGTATAGGTGCGCGGTTTGGCAATTATCAAAACCTGTCAGAAATGAACACGACTTTAGTTTATCGTACAAAGTGTGTTCCAACAATTTCCCCCTTTTTGATAATGGCAAACAAGACGGGGATATGCATGGGGTTTTGATCTTTTTGAAAAAAAATTCCCCCTTAATAAAAATTCCCCCTTAATATATGCATAGCCCTTATCTTCCCCCTTTTGACATTAACAAAAAGATTTAACAACAAAAAACCATAAAGATTTTTATTTATCATTTAAGGGAAATATCAGGGTACATAACGGAAGCAAATTTAAAAAGCATAAAAAGAATAAAGAAGAGAAGGGAATAGAGCTAGAGCTCTAGAAGTCCGGTGAAAGATCATTGAGAAGCTGTTCTTCGTCAATGTCTTCGTCTTCGTCTTCATCACCACTGCCATCATCATCATCATCATCTTCGTCTTCTTCTTCCTCATCTTCTTCCTCTTCCTCATCGTCCACCTCTTCATCTCCCCCAACGTTATTAGTCCCGCTTGGTGCACCCTCGACATTCGGTGGAGGAGCGTAGGGGACCATTTGAGCGTAAGGGTAATTGACAAAGTCAAAGTACCCGTGAAGCTCTCGGCTCAAAATATTTACATTTTGGGCCGTTTGGGAGACGTTGGTGTCAATCCGAGAGAGAGTGGCGGTCAAGGCTGCCATTTTCTCGGCAAGAGAAGGGTTGGTCGAAGCGGTGGCCCTTGTTTGGCGGCGAGGACGAGGCTGTCGAAACGGAGTCTCGTCGGTGCCCGAGTGGAAAGAGGATTCATCAATCTCCCAATGCTTTGTCCCCTTTATCTTTGGCCCAACATCGGTTTTGATGTTATACTCTTCAAGAATCGCCATGACGAGGAGGGCGTAGGGGAGCGGCCGATCGTCGGAGGTGGCGCTAAACATGTGAGTCATCACAAATTTACACCAATTGATGTTGGCGTTGTGAATTATCGCATGGAGCGTCTTCGTGTCCTCTTGGGAGAGAGTGGTGTGATTGAACTTCCTAGGTTTGAGAATCCGTGTCAAAACATAAAAATTGAATCGAAACACGGGACTCATGGAAGCAATCGTAGGGCGCCGCTGCTGGGGAGTGGGGATGAAGTTTCGGATACCAACTTCCACCAAGAGTGCGGTCTCGTTCAACCGCGCTCCTTCTTCTCCGACATAGAGGCTGAGATCCTGTCCGTCCCGACGAAGCCCGGTGAGGATATGAATGTTCTCCTCATTCAAATAAATCTCCACACCGTTGAAATTTGAAATCAACGATCCGTCCTCATCCTTTTTCAAGTTCGAGTAGAAGGCTCGAACAAGAAAAGGTTGATAGTCGTTCTTCTTGATGTAGAGTAGGTCGAGGAAGTTTCCTTCTTGGAGGATGACCCGTGCCTCCCGTGGAATGGAATCGTGAATGAAGCGTGCAGTGGAGAACGGGGGAGGGAGAATTTCCCGGTGCTCAAACTTCTCCGAGAACCTCGTAGCCTCTGCGCGGTCGTTGAACCAAAGGAACGACCCGTCGAGGTACTTGTGCGTCGATGGTGGAGGAGCCAAGGAAGAAGCCACGTTCTTGCCGGTGCGGGATCTCTTTCGTTGACCTCCTGCCATGAAATCAAATGGAGAGAGGATTTGCAGGATTTTTGACCAAAAAGTAGCAAGAATTTGAAGAAATATGATGAATATTTGAGAAGAGCTGATTGGAATGAATAAAAATGGAGTAGATATCACCGATTTATAGTGGAAGAGGTGTAGAGATCCGTTGGGATGGTCAAACAAGGATTAAATGCTCCTCCAACGTCTCTGCAACGGTTAGATTTTTGAAAAATCGTCGTTGTAAATCGATTTACACTTCTTGTAAATCGATTATTGGAGTTTTCTGATTCTCCGCCTAAGAACCTGCAGTCTTCAAAAGTCGATTGCCATGTTTTGGTAAATCGATTTTTGGAGTTTGCGCCGAAGGTGCCTTAAACTTCTACAGGCTCAGATAATCGATTGTCTTATAGTTGATAATCGATTGTTGCTGGTTTGCGCCTGACTTTTGAGAAGGTTCTGCAGCCCCTGATAATCGATTATCTTAATGCTGATAATCGATTGTTGGCTCCTTCAGTTTCTTTGCTCCAACTCCTGTGGGTTGTGATAGTCGATTATCACAAGCCTGTAAATCGATTCACACCAAGTTTGGTAAAAAAAATCGATTTACTTTGTTCCCCCTGACTTTGACACCTGAAATGTAAAATTTAAAAGAAGAGTCCTGCAAAAAAAGAGTTAAAAACGTCTCCGACGTTCAAGTTAGTAAGGATCAAAAATGATATTTAATGCACAACTTAGATCATCGTGGAGTCAAGGATTCCGAGTTCACTACGAATGCAGAAGAACGACTCTTTCTCTAAAGGTTTTGTGAAAATGTCGGCTAATTGGTTGTGTGTTTCAATGAACTCAATTTCGACATCACCTTTGAGAACATGATCTCTAATGAAATGATGCCTAATGTCAATATGTTTCGTCCTTGAGTGAAGAACCGGATTCTTCGTCAAGCTTATGGCGCTAGTATTATCACATCGAAGAGGGACGTGATCGATACTAAGGCCATAATCCACAAGTTGTTGCTTCATCCAAAGGATTGGAGCACAACAACTACCGGCGGCAACATATTCCGCTTCGGTTGTGGATAACGCAACACTGACTTGCTTCTTGCTAAACCATGAGACTAAAGAACTACCAAGCAAGTGACACGTCCCACTCGTACTTTTACGGTCTAATCTACAACCGACAAAGTCCGAGTCGGAATAGCCAAAAAGATGACAAGGAGACCCTTTGGGGTACCATAGTCCAACGTTCATTGTACCAACAAGATATTTCATTATCCGTTTCACCGCCGTTAAGTGCGATTCTTTCGGACAAGATTGATACCTTGCACATAAACAAACGCTAAACATGATATCGGGTCTACTAGCGGTAAGATAAAGAAGGGATCCGATCATACCTCGATACTTCTTTACGTCTACTTCCTTACCCTTTTCATCTTTGTCCAGGTGCTCGGAGGTGCTCATTGGGGTAGCCATTGCTTTGGAGCCATCCATTTCAAATCTCTTTAGAAGCTCCTTGCAATACTTTGATTGACAAATGAAGGTCCCTTCCCTCATTTGTTTGACTTGTAACCCCAAGAAGAAATTGAGTTCCCCCATCATGGACATCTCAAATTCATTTGTCATTAAGTTTGAAAATTTCTTGCACAAAGATTCGTTAGTAGCACCGAATATAATGTCATCTACGTAAACTTGCACCAAGAGGATGTTATCGTTTTTACTCTTGATAAAAAGTGTAGTGTCAACCTTTCCCTTTTTGAACCCGTTATCCAAAAGAAATTTGCTCAAACGTTCATACCAAGCACGAGGTGCTTGTTTAAGACCGTAGAGTGCTTTCTTTAGTTTATAGACATACTCCGGGTGCTCAAAATCCTCAAAGCCCGGGGGTTGATCAACATACACTTCCTCTTGAATAAAACCATTGAGGAAGGCACTTTTAACATCCATTTGGTATAGTTTAAAATCCATAGATGAAGCAAAAGCGAGTAATAAACGAATAGCTTCTAAACGTGCTACTAGTGCATAAGTTTCTTCAAAATCAATGCCTTCTTCTTGATTGTAGCCTTTAGCTACGAGCCTAGCTTTGCTTCTAGTGATTATTCCATTTTCATCGAGTTTGTTACGGAACACCCATTTCGTACCAATTATGGTGTGATCATTGGGTCTTGGCACCAATTCCCAAACGTCATTTCGTTTGAATTGGTTAAGCTCCTCTTGCATTGCCAAGGTCCAATGTTCATCATCAATTGCTTCCGAAATGGTTGTAGGTTCAATTTGAGAGACAAAAGCCATGTGACTTACGGTGTCCCTAAGAGAGCTACGAGTACTTACCTTTCGGTTGATGTCACTGATTACCTTGTCAAGAGGATGGTTCTTTGAAGTCCTCCATGCCCTTAGCATTGGCGTTTCCTCCTCTTGTGGTTGTTCCTCGTTTACGGGTGGCTCTACTTCTTCATCTTGGCTTTCCTTTGAGTTGTCTCCTTCGTCATTGTCGTTGAGATAGATGTTCTCCAACGAATCTACAAGATCATCACAAGAAACCTTTCTCGCCAAGCGAGCATCATTTTCGGCAAAGACAACATGAGGAGATTCCTCAACGGTTAAGGTGCGTTTTTTGAAGACTCTATAAGCCTTACTACGCAATGAAAAACCAAGACAATTTCCTTCATCCGACTTTGTATCGAATTTAGCCAAGTTATCTTTTCCGTTATTGTGAACAAAACATTTGCAACCAAAGACTCGAAGATGGGAGAGGTTTGGCTTTCTTCCTTTGTATAATTCGTATGGGGTTTTCATGAGTATCGGTCTAATGGCGGCTCGGTTTAACACGTAGCTCGCGGTACTCACGGCATCCGCCCAAAAGTACTTAGGAATTTTTGCCTCATCGAGCATAGTTCTAGCCATCTCCTCGAGACAATGATTTTTACGTTCCACCACGCCATTTTGTTGTGGTGTACGTGGAGCGGAGAAGTTATGCTCGATGCCTAGTTCGTCACAAAACTCGGTAAAGAGATCTCGTTCGAACTCTCCACCATGATCGCTTCGTATGGCTACGGTGGTTAAGCCTTTTTCATTTTGAACCTTTTTGAGAAAAGTTTTGAAAACATGAAATGCCTCACTTTT